CGTGTGTCGTGTGTGTGTGTGTGTGTGTGTGTGTGTGTGTGTGTGTGTGTGTGTGTGTGTGTGTGTGTGTGTGTGTGCGTGCGTGCGTGCGTGCGTGCGTGCGTGCGTGCGTGCGTGCGTGCGTGCGCGCACGTAGTATCGCGCGTAAATACAAATGTAATTTTAATTGTCGCGGATTGAATTGTCGTTGCGCTTAATCGTTACTTTTGCAAAGCGATTTTCTCGGAACTGTTCAAAACACGACGATAGAAATCCCTCTCTCTCCGTCGCGTCGCTGCATACGATCCTGCCCTTTAGCCGTAGCTAAAACGACAATGGAGAATTGCCGTTTTCTTGCTTCCATAAGCGAAGCGTGGGCGTCCCGACGATGAAAGTATCGCTAGAAATATGGCACAAACGAAAAAAGAAAAAATAAAATGCTCACTTTGCGAATGTAAAATTTACCGGATCTCGATGAGTTTTTTTCTTCACATCGCAGCACTAAATCTAAATTCCTGACGAGACCTGTAAACGCGATTGGGAGCAAAAAGTGTGTGTGTGTGTGTGTGTGTGTGTATATGTGTGTAGAGAAAGTGATATACACGTTTCTGCTTCTGTTCTGATTCGCTACATTCTTGACGTTATAAACGTTGGACTGATACGATAGTAATCGAGCAAGCGTACGATAGCGAGAGCGATGATGAACGTATCCGTTCGGAATGATTTAAGGATATTACTATGTTTACCGCGGAATTTACTGCGACGTGCAGGGATACGTTTTCACGGAGGGATCGGAATTATAGGGGATAGACTGGAGGGACTGGATATACGATATCGCGGCCACCGTTTATGTCGTATCCCCTTACCGGAGAATCGATGCCGCTGTCCCCCACATCCCCTAGGTTCCCGCCCGCTCGCCCGGGGAAACGTATAATTCGCGATGGAAGAAGAAGAAGAAGTCACGAAGATCGTCGCACGTTGCAGCAAAACTACTATTTATTACCTATAAAAAGCGCGCAATTACTGCATCGCTGCTACACTTTGCGATTACTACAGTAGTTATTTTAAAATAGAAGTTAAAAGCTTTCTTATTGCGATTTCTCTATTGTACCACTTATATACAACTTGAACTTGCACGATTTTTCGAGAATAAATATTTATGAAACGCTCCATTCTTAACGAATGATTGTTCTTCTACGTTCTCCGTCCCGTAATCACCCCGCCACCGATTCCGCCCCGAGTCGAGTCGTATTCACGGACGTTTTTAATTTGTTCATTTATTACCAAGCGCCGCGCTCGGCATTGTTAAGTCTGAGACGAACGCGAGCTGACAAAACCACGTTGAATCACGTGGTTTCCGACCAATCTGAGCACCGAGATTAATTTCGAGATGCTGAATTGCCAGAGTGATTTTCGAGATGAACGAGCAAACGAAGAGCTGCCTCAGAACGTCTTCGATTTGCAAAGGCGAACGCAGCTATTGTTCTCCTCGTTTCTCCCAGAGTTTCTCTGTCGCGCGTTTCAGTTATCTCGTGTATCGTCGACATTTCGAATTCGAGAGGAAAAGGAAATATTTGTCGTATCGATTAATTATCGGAGTTTTATGTCGTTAAGGAGATGGATGGACATTAATGAGACCAAGCGGATCACAGAGTCGTCCAGACTCTCTTTGTCCGCTTCCTTTTTTTCTTCATTTTCTATCC